ACGTGTCGCGACGTATCATGACTTTTTTTGCATTGCCAGAGCTGGGTTGGGCACAGCCTACGTATGATGCAACCGGCCCGCAAATCGGCAGTTTGACACCCCTGCCTTATAGGAAGCAAAATGGGCAAAAATAGAGATAGTAAACATGCTTTTGTTCCTTTTTGAATCTCACGAGGTTTTGCTAGTTTTTCATTAACATTTATGTATGCTTTCTGAGAAGTATAAATCAAACTTACCCTGTTTAATAAAATTATCTCCAAGGCTCATATATTCTAGAACTCTAAACACAGAAATCCAACTGAAATTATCAGGCTTTCTTTGCATCTAAGAATATGAATATATGTTGTTTTCATTAAGTTACCCCAAATATTCCAGAATATTAAAAACATTTCTAATATTATTAATAGTATAATACTGTAATAGACTCACCTCAAAGCAAGATAGGTGGAAAACAAATTTAATAAATGAATAATCACATACAGTGGTTTAAACCCACATTGATCTTCATGAATAAAATCCTGTAAAATTATTTTCAATGTTTCAGCCAAAATTGTGGTAAACTGTTTGCAATCTTTATTTAATAAACATATTGGCTGATAAACCTTATTCCTTTTAATAAGTAATATTAGCCTTTTTTTCCAACTATCTGGAATCTTTCCATTCTACAAAATAATATTTATCACTTGCCGTTAAGATTGAATAAGCTTATCTGCAAAACATTTATGGTAAGAGACCAGCAATCCATCTGGACTCATCTAAACCCTTTCCTATTTTAGGGTTTTTTTTTATTAGGTACACACAACTGTTGTTTTAAGTCCATTCAAAAGTTGTCTGTTTGTCCATAATTTTTGGTAAATTTTATTAGCAGTCATCTATTTTTCCAAAGAAATGTCTTAACCTAGATAATTGTCTCTGTAAAAGTTTAACTTGATGAATTATAGTTGTCATCCCTGAAGATTTTTTTTTTATTTTTTTTATCTCATCTAAAATCATTTACATTTTTTGTTTTCAAATTTACTATTGTGTTATATAAAATACCCTCTCAGAAAAGCTTTACTTGAATTCCTAATTGGGCAACCTCTCTTTTCCATACTCTGCTGAAATCATATCACGTGATATCATAATCCATCCTGTGAAATTGGTTGTTTTCTTTCAAATGCTTCATTACACAAATAGGTGCTAGAATGGAATGGAGTTTGTTCTATCTTTATATATAATAACTTGCCCTGTCAGTGTTGGTGGGAGTGTTGCTTTCTCCTTGGTTGTTCCTTGATTGGCTTGTTGTTTGCTGCTTTATTATTTGTCTGGTGTTAATCTCTGCTTATCCAGGTGTTGATTGCTAGCAAGGAGATGTTCTATTTTTTTATTTTCTTTTCAGTTTTTTATTATATCTTTTTAATGGTAAGTGTTGTTTATCCTTATGTGCTTGTTGATGGCTGATTTGTCTGATTGTCAAGCTTTCAGGAATACCCTAGCATTTTTGGATGTAGCTTGGTCTAGGACAGTGTTTCTCAACCTTGCTGGCTGTGGAATTCTGGGAATTGAAGTCCACAAGCCTTAAAATTGTCAAGGTTGAGAAACACTGGTCTAGGATGCTTAGAAGTTTACAGCTGAAACCATAGTTAGGTCTGTCCATGTAATTGTGAAATTCTATCACTGAAGATGTTACGTAGCTAGGTAATAAAACATCTGCAAGAAAAGAACCAAACCCAGAGAGCATCAAGGGCTCCAAAGTTCAACCCTGAACTATAATCTGCCCTGATGGGACTCATTTTCAACAGAGCTGTGAAGAACTTACGTTTTCCCAATACGCAAACCCATCAAGCTATTGTAATTCAGTGCATTTTTTAAATCTGTACACTAATGTGATAATGGTATACATGAGCTTTGCATATGTGCTATAAGGACTTGCATGCAAATTTCAATGTCCTGTCTACTCTAAACCAAACCTGCACCTCAATTTCCAAATTCCACCTTCTCAAAGTTCAAATTTCAGGAAAACAGACAGAACCTCATGGGGGAGAGAGTAAAGGATTGCTGTGCAATCTTCATGGTTCCCTGCTAATTTGTACCCAACATATCTTCATATCACCTAAGGGAAATCAACTGTAGAAGAAGGTAATTACTTTGCTCTCTATGCTTATGGTTTTTCCAGATGAATGCTGTTGGCCATTTTGAGGCACTGAATCCTGATCTATATGGCTTCTTGGCCTGAGAGCAGAGTGTTACTGCTGTATCTTGAATGACAGAGTATGAGTGCCAGGGGCCACCATGATTTTACTCCGGAGCAAATCTTAGATTAACACAGGAATAGCTTGCTTCAGTGACTCTCTCCCAGTGTAATTAAATGGCAGCCATTCACAGAGGAAAGACAAAGCTAATGAAGGGATTTTTTTTTTCACAGTCTTCTAACTATTACCCCTAGTTACCACTCAGATTTGCTAAAACGTTGTACAGTACTTCTTTTTGCTTTCTCTGAGTAGAACAGAATACTACTGAATTCACATATCACTTTACAGTACGGTTTAACTGTGAACCAAGCCAGACGCTACAATTTCCACCATACCTTAAAGCCAAGTTTCCACTGCATCATCAAACAAATCAACCCAGAATTCTCATTTGAGGCACAAATTGGCCAAGTTAAAACCTTAATTTTGGACACATTATACAAAAAAAAAAAAAAACCCTAGCTGTCTAAAAAAGACAGTAACGTGGGAAAGGTGGGAGGAAAAAGAAAAGAGGATGACAGCAGACTTTGCCAATGTTTGCAGCCTTGACCAATGAGTGGATTGTTAGAAGACCTGAAAGACCAGGTCAGGGACAAATTGTCATGATGGAACTCTATCTAGGACAGTGTTTCTCAACCTTGACAATTTTAAGGCATGTGGACTTCAACTCCCAGAATTCCACAGCCAGCAATGCTGGCTGTGGAATTCTGGGAGTTGAAGTCCACATGCCTTAAAATGGTCAAGGTTGAGAAACACTGATCTAGGAGGCAACACCAACTCGGTGTCACAGAACCCATGAGAAGATGGTCAAGGGCTGTGTCCCCGTATCTCGTTTTTCACTGGACAATCATTGCAGTGGTTTGAAGACTCTCTTGTCTCCTCATTCTTCTTCAATTCCAAGGAAGACCTCAGAGTGACGGAAACGATTGGCCATGCCCACTTCAGCAGTTCCTTCTCCAGCGACGAAGTAAGCCTCAAGAAACCATCGAGATACTTTCAAAGTGGATCTTCCAGTCCCTTGAGACTGTGGATAAGGAAAACAAAAGCCTTTTTCAACAAAAAGGCTTTTGTTTCCCTTATCCATAGTCCAAGGGACTGGAAACGTTGGAGAAAGCGCAAGGCAGATTTGGCGCGGCGTTAATCTCGACTCCAGAGGCTTGACTTTTTACAAGCCCCATCCTCCGTGCTTCTCCGCTTTTATATATTATGTATAAAGGGGGGGGGGGGTTAAAATCCCCTTTCCCACCCCCTAGCCCGGAGATCCTCCGAGGGCTGCCTGGCGCCGCTCAGCCTCGCGGGTCTCCCCATCAGCGCGGCTCCGAGGAGTTCAGGAAAAACCCGCCAGGAACGCGCGAAGGAGGGAGGCTAAGGAGTCCCCAACCTCCACCCGGGCCGGCATCTTTCCGGGAGCCTGGGCTAGCAGGCTGACTCTCCGCGAGGGAGTGGCCCCCATTGCCACACGCACTGCGCTCCGAGGAGGGTTTTGAGCCGCTACCGTCTGGCACCCGCCCCTCTCCACCCGAATGCGCCTTAATCTGCCACTCGGCCAAGTTGGACAAGAAGGGTATTCAACAACAGGAGAGCTTAGGAATTGAAGCGTGTGTGTGTGTGTGTCCGTCCGCACTTGCGGGAGTGGCGAGGACGACCTCCCCGCGGAAAGGCCGCTGCAAAAGGCGCGTGGAATTCCGAGGGTGCCTATAGAAAGGGCGCTGGGTTCGAATGCAGCCCGGGGTGGCGGTGGCGGGAGGAGAGGGAACTCCGTTGACGGCGCGATCTTTCCTCCCTTCCGCCCCAAAGCAAACCCAGCGCTCCGCGGCGGTTTCTTTCAAGGACCCCTCTTTGAGCAGGGAGGTGAAGGGGCGCCTCTGCGAGCGGTGCCGAGCGAAAGAGATTTGGGGGAGCACTTTCTTCCCCGCCTCCTACTCTCCCCCCCCACCCTTTCCGCAGCAATTTCTGCTGCTTTCACTACTATGAAAAGGCTGTCGTCTTGAGCTGCTGGTAGGTAGGGCGGCAGCGCAGATCGCAAAAAAAAAATATTACACCCTGAACAACCTTCCAGCAAATGTTGAAGAGGAGGCCGAGCCTACGAGGCGAGGCGACTTATTTGAACGTTTGCAGAAAGATTAAACAACGACAATAACAAGGACGGAATACTTTGTAGTGCTGGGAGCCTGGGGTCTGAAGCGTTTGCTTTACAACCTGCTGCAATTGACTCAAACGCAGAGCTCGCTCCGTCCACCCCAACGGGCAGATGCTCCTCAGTTTCCCGTTGGTGCACGCGTTGTTGGCTCTTGTCCCTTTCCCTCCAGGATCCGCCAGAAGCGGCGGAGGCGGAAGATGCATTTACACCAAAATAAAATAAACTAAGAATTGAAAAGGCGGAAGCCAGAGAGATTTTGCACCATCTCTCTCCCGCAAGGTGGATGTAAGGTTAATTTCCTTCTGTTGAGTGGGGGGAGAGAGGCGGCGGGTGGGGTGGGGTGGGGGGGGGAAGAATGATAGAAGCCTCTTAGCAACCCATCCAAATTGAACTCCATCACCCCAGACACACACACACATACACTCGCGTTCCTAATTTAGCATTTTGTTTGTGTTTTATTTTTTCCAAAGGCAGATCATCTTTTTTAAAAAACAAAACACAAATCTCTCCAGGGCGAATCAGTGATTAATCACTAAGGTCTTAGAAGGATAATTCTCTGAGGAGTTTCAGATAGTCCAAGATAGCACTTAAAAGTATATAATAATATTAAAAGAAAAACGGGCGAAGAAGGGAACGGGGAGGGGGGAATAGAGTACCAGTTCTCTCCCCAGGCTCCGGTGTGATTTGGTTTAGTCCAGCTGCAGCAGCTGGGAGGGGGGAACACGGAGGCTGCCCATCCATTCGGATTTTTCCTCCTAGAGAGAAAAAAAACAACAACAGGCACCCCACCTTATTATATTAATCTTATACATGTACGTAAGATTAAACAAGGGCCATCCTCCAGAACCCCCAAGCTGGATTCTTCCCTTTCCTCCTCCGTTAGATTCTTCCACTGATCAAAGCAAGGAGAGGGGGGGGGTGAAAAGGAAAAGAAATCCGGACCAATCACCCACCTCCCTCTCTCCCCCCTCCTCCTCCTGTTCCCTCCTTCTCTTCCAAGCGAATCAGCCCCCCAGCTCCTGTTTGACATGCAATCCTCTTTCGGTTGGGACAAGCCGGCATGCCGCTGCAGCTTTAAACGGAATTGGGGGAAATTGGGGATTTTTGCTCTCATGACGGTGGAAGTGAGCTATTGGAGCCGGATTTTACTGCTCTCGGTGGGGGTTTTGGCAACAACGGCCACCGGTAAGTGGGGTTCGAGGAAGACGTTTAAGTTTTGGGGGGGAAGCTTGTGGGGTAAAGCCGTAAATGTATGGGCCGGGGCTGACCACATCTCTCCTTCCCCACGACCAATGGATGACCCATCAGTTTCTTTTCTACTCTTGATCTGCATTTTTTTTTTTTTTCCCAAGGGAGAGAGCGAGCGGTAGAATTGAGAATCCAGGGGTCTTCTTGTATCAGGGAAGATGTTTAAGCTTCCTTGGCAGTTTTTAGTACATTTTGCTTCTCATCCAGCCTGTTAAAGTTTGTAAGGATAGGGCATCTGAGCAACAATTTTCAAAGGGTCATTTCTTTCCCTGGATGAGTGTGAAGGTGGGTGAAGAATGGATGCAAGCCCCTCCAGAATACCGTCTGTAGAATTGATTTTTTTCCCCCCCTTTGGGCTGGCAATTTGCAAAACTGGGAAAAAAACCATTATATGAAGAAGATAAACCCTCCTCCGGATGTCTTTAGATTTTTGTTATCTAACAAAAGATTATACTTGAGAAAACTCTAATTTTTTTGTAGGGCTGTGAAAGTGATTCAACACATCCAGGACATCTTCACACAAACAAACCAGCCTCCTCCCTCCCCATTTTTACTCAGAATAGAATTAAGGCCTTGACTTTTCTAATAATTTTCCACCTCCAGAATAGATTAAAAAGGAAGTAGGGGTTTTCCCCTACCTTCCTTGCTGCAGAAGCTGTCAAAGGTCTGAAGTTTGATTTCTTGTTATAGAGCAAAGAAAGGAGGGACAGTTGGTTTCTCTTAAAGGGTGATTTTACGCCTGCAAGAGGTTGGACTAATTAGAATTTCTTCACAGATGGATGCATTGGGGAAATCTTTCTTCCCAGGTCTTTGACTTCTTTTCTGCCCCTTTCTAAAGTGATCTGGCCACAATCCTGAACATACAAATGTGAAGGAACTGAAGCTCTACCAGATGCAGTGTCTTTTTATTTCCGTGTAAGGGGAGGTTGGATGCCATGTGTGGATGTATTTTTACACATCATTAGGTCAACTTTGTGATTGGACTGAAAAACAACTGAGGTCTTTCATCCTGGGAAAGTCTCTCCTAGAAGACTTGGCTTGACAATGAGCTGTTTGTTTGGGGTTATCTTTGGGAAACTCTCCTAAAGATGACATTGGAAGGTAAAAAGGAGAGTGAGTGAACTCAATTAAGGACAGAATCTTGTTTTTGACCAGCTGTGTCTATTTTCTTGCTTTTTGAGATGTCTGGGCTTATTGAGAGAGGAAGCAGTCAAACCTCCGTATCCTACAAGTGGGATGCTAGTTAGATGCAGTTACTTGGAATACTTCAATTTGCCTTCTCATTCTCTTTTATTTCATAGTTTCTCCATTTGTGGAGAATCCGGTTTTAATTTCTTTGGACACTTTATTGTCTTCTGTTTTTGCCAAATACTCCTGAAACTAATATTTATTTATTTATTTTTGCAAAATATTTGGATTGTTGCCCCAAAGGTGCTTTTTCAAGAGGCAACTGGACTTTCTTTTTTTTTCTTTGAAGACGTTTCACTTCTCATCCAAAAAGCTTATTCAGCTCTGACTGGATGGTGGGGAGAGAGCTGAAGAAGCTTCTTGGATGAGAAGTGAAACGTCTTCAAAGAAAAACAAGAAAGTCCAGTTGCCTCTTTAAAAAGCATCTTTGGGCCAACCATGACCTGGATGACTGAGAATCTCCATAGTCATTTGGATTGTTGCATTTTACTACTTGGATTACCTATTTATCATTTATCATTACCTATTTATCATTCTCCAAGACCAAACCACTCATCCTTTCCGACTGTATATCTCTGCTTCCTTGGGGGGGATCAGATTTATAGTCTAGCATCAGATGGAGAATAGCAGATTAGAGGAGAGTGATCTGTTCCTATAGAACAGTCACATCTTGATGGACTTCATTTGGGCTGGTGAGCTGTCTCTGTCTAGATCTTCATCCTCTAAAAGTCTCATTTTGCTAGAAACTGGTTACTTTAAAAAAAACTTTCCCTATTTTTAAGGATGGATAAGATATTCTACGTTTCTTAAGTTTTCCAAGCAAATTTGTCCCTTCTGTTAAAAAGAATGCAGTTATTATTTCATACTTCACTAACTGCTGATTTGATAATCCTATTTCTATTATTCTAGTGCACTTTTTGATTTTTTTAAAAAGCCTTTGGAAAAATGTCAGAGCTTTTGTTTGCTATATTGGAGCAAAACTGAAATCTCACTCATATTGATTATGGGATGCCTGCTTCACCTGCTTCTTTTCTCTGGAGACCCTCCCCCATTATTAGAGAGTAATGACCATGACTGTCCAAAGTGTGGCACTACAGGTGTGTGAATAACGCTACTGGAAATAGTGGTTATATGTATTAAATGGTTGTATCTAAGTATATATCTAAACTCAGTCACCTTGCTAGTATCATATTAATCTTTTTCATCTAATTGGTAACATTTGTCAGTAATTCCAACTGTTCATTGAAAGTGGGATAGAAAGGTAGAATATTGCCATTTTTTAAAAAAAACATTCTGCATTTTCTAGAGAAAATTGTCTCATCAGATATGTAGACTGTTTGTTATGAGTTAGCAATAATGATAAAGTTTCTTATTGCATAAGGAGTATTTCTCTTGTCAAAGGAAAAGGCTTTTTCTGTTTTGTTAGATTCTTTAATATTGTAAAATACAATGTATTTTTTTTAAATTAAAGCCATGAAGGGTGGTGCTTTTCATTGGACTCATAATCCAATGAGCCGAGGTGGCGCAGCAGTTAGAGTGCAGTACTGCAGGCCACTTTAGCTGACTGTGTTCAGCAGGTCAGCGGTTCAAATCTCACCGGCTCAAGGTTGACTCAGCCTTCCATCCTTCCGAGGAAGGTAAAATGAGGACCCAGATTGTTGGGGGCAATGTAAATATATATATATATATATACACCGCTTAGAGAGTGCTTGCACTTAAAAGCGGTATATAAGTCTCCTAAAAATAAAATAAATCTAGCTCCATCTCTGACCTGTGAAAAAATCTGCTGTCAATTTTCCTTGTTGCAGCTTATCCTTTCAAATCATAAGTTGTCTCTAAAGATATTATTTGTTACACAGTTGCCGTAAATGGATTGGAATCCAAAGCAAACCTATTGCATTCATTGAGTTCTGTTCTTACTTTCTAACAATAGACCTGTGAGGTAGTGTGATAGAACAGTGAGCAACTCTGGAGTCAAAATGAATAAAAATAAGCTGCCTGAGACACATGATTTTTTGACCCTTGGGAATAGGGCCATTCAGTCAGCCCAATGAGCTTCATTTGACTTGGTGCGGTAAGGTAAAATGTATGAGATATGACCAAGAATGGGTCCAGTCCTCATTTATTTTTAACCATGATTTGTTGAACATGTTATTGTTGGGTGGTTTCCTTATTGCATTAAAACATAAACCATCTAGAAACTACAGTGGCTGGTTTCATACTGCATGTTAAACCAAAATCAACAATGATGCTATGATTTAACAGGATGTTATAAAGGACAATCAGCTACTGTTGCTCCCTTTCTAAATGAAGTTTAAATTGTTAATAATCTTTGCTAAATAGCATCTCATCTTTGCTATTGGGTACTGAGTTTCTATGCAGACTTGAATAAGCTGGAAAGGAATAGCCACAGGAAGAAGTTTCCTATGGTTAGTCAATACTTTCCTGTTTTTTTTTTTTTTTCTTCGTCTGAACTGAAATGAGCCACTTAAAGAAGGATTTGGGTTTATGGTTTGGGATTGGATCTGACCTACATTTTTTTCTCTAGTTTCTGGTAGTGAAAGGACAGTTAAAACCCTTCTCTTGTAGGATTGCTAGAACAGGATTTCCTGCACTGTTGGAATATTTATTTTGAGAAACCCCTTTATAGCCAGTCATCACATTGTAGCATGTCCAGAACCAGAAAACGTACAGAGCCTCTGTGCAATACAGCAACTCTGTTTAGCTCTGGACATAGCTAAGATCAGGCAGGCTCAGTGGGATAGGCTGGAGTCCCTCATATGCTCAACCTCAATTCTGTGCTTAAAAAACCCATTTTGGTATGCGTAAATTTAAAGAACAATCAAAGGTGTTTCGGGGTATTAGGATAGAGATGTTTGTGCCTTATCTCCATCTTAGTTTATAATCATTATGTGACTGATGTTGCATAATGAGGGAACTGGGAAGTGAAGAAGTGCCTTCTTGTTAGTCCATATCTTCATACCTCCTATATTTCACTCATTAGGATGACAGCCACTTTTCTAGTTCTGTCTTAATGGCACTTGCATTTCTCAGTTCTACTCAAGGTGCAAAATTTATGTGGGCTGATGCAGCCCAGAAGTGTTTCAAATTGTTAGCATCCCTTTTTTAAAAAAAACAAACAAACAATAGGAATAAAGCTTCTTTCTCTGCTTTTTCACATTCTTTGTCAAAATTTCTTTCCTGCTTAGGCTTTGGAGCATACTCACTTTTGGAGTGTAATTCTCTACGTGCTACTTTCAGATGGTCTATTTTTCAAGCCAAAAAGGTTATAAAAACTTATGCTTGTGTAACAAAAATATTCAAACAAAATATTCAAAGTCAATTCTCATGGAAACAAATTGCAAATTAGGTTGTAAGGGGAAGAAAAAAATGCTAAATTTTCCCATGGTTTGGCTCCGTGTGTGTGTGTGTGTGTGTGTGTGTGCATACACCCATGCAAGATGGATATAATCCTTTATTATCTAGTTTTGTTTTTTGCATACTGATTGTTGAAATGTGAGGAGACTCTGGATGTGCTTCTTTCAAATCCCACAGACAACATGCTGATTCTACTTTGTCATAAGGTAGAGAGAGATCTGATTAACTGAATGTTTTCAGTTAGATTGAAGCTAATTATTTACATTGTGGAAAAAAATAAAAAATGGAGACAAGCAGTAGGGAAGAAGACTTCTTGCAGGTACTTTTTCTTTTAATTGTATAAGTCCTCTTAATGAGCTTTTTGCCAGTTT